TTAAGTCTATAAAATAATTGAGAAATTTTATTTTCTTTAAAATGTATTTTGATTATGAAAGAAATGTAAGTAGAACCAATATTCTATTGAGTGTGGTAGCCGAAGGAGTGGTGATCATTCAAATATTAGGTTCGCTCTCCGGAAGTGAAAATTTCGATAAAACACTGAGTAGAACAGCCTTTTCACTAAATAAGAAAAGAAATTGTATTTAAAAATAAACAATTTTCTGAAAAAAATTCAAACTATAACTCAATTTTTGATTGAAACTATTAATTAAAATTCAGTTTATTTCATCAGAAGATTTAAAATATTAAAGAAAAATATAACGAATATATCTTATTTCTATAAAAAATAATATGATTCTTGTGTTTTCTTTCAATTGAGGTTTACATTATTTACTTATTACTCTTTTGATTAAATTCATCGATGCTCGACTTATTCCATCAGAATCTGTGGCTAATGAACCACTTACTATCGATGCTATGCCAATTAATAATGTACCTATCGTTTCTGAAATTTCAACAATGAATCGACTTAACAAATTAGCAGTAACATCAAAACAAGCTAATACTTCAGTGTGCTATCCAGTTGTTGGTTGTTTTGATAATAATGAACCATATAATAATGCTGGTTTAGAAGTACCTCAATCACCTGAACATATTGATACACAATTTCTTCTATTTACACAAGAAGCTCCTGAAACACCAGAATTTCTTTTTTATGATACCAATGATCAATCAATTATAGACTCACGTCTTAATTCTTCTCGATGGTTAAGAATTATTGTTCATGGTTTTACGAATAATCGAAATAGTATTTGGATAAAACCACTTCAAGATGAATTATTAAAATTAAAAGATGTAAGGAATTATTTTATTTTTTCTTAGATTTTAGACTTATTCTTAATGAATATGATAGAATGAATTATCAGATGTACTTATTGTTGATTGGGGTCATGGTGCTAAATTTCCATTATATACAAATGCCGCTTCAAATACACGACTTGTTGGTAAACAAATTGGTTTACTTTTACAAAAATTACATAATATGAAAGGATTTGCATATGAGAAAATTCATTGTATTGGTTCGTTAATATTAAAAACAAGAAAACGTTAATTGTTATTTGTGTTTTTTTATTTTTATTAGGACACAGTCTTGGTGCACATGCATGTGGTATAGCATCAGATACAATTGATAATCAAATGGCTCGTATTTCAGGTCTTGATCCAGCTGGTCCATTATTTGAAGGAAAAAACGTAGTTGTTCGTCTTGATAAAAATGATGCAAAATTTGTTGATGTTATTCATACAAATACAAAAATTGCTTTGGGAATTGGTTTAGGATCAAGTGAATCATCAGGACATGTAGATTTTTATGTTAATGGTGGAGAACATCAACCAGGTTGTCCTTCAATGTAAATATAAATATTTTGTTTTGAGAAAACAACTTCTTTTTATTCTTCAATTTAATTTAATTTTTTTTTACAAAAGGTTTTCAGTTTTTGGTGATGCAATGAATGGTCATAGTGAAGGTAAAAATATTTGAAATAAATAGAGGATATATGATTTTTTTGTTTATAGCTATTTTTGAACATACATCATGTTCACATTGTGAGTTTTAAAAAATAAATATATTGAATATAAAAACATTTTATATTTATAACTAGCTCGTTCTCATGGATATTTTACTGAATCAATCAAGTATAGTTTCTATTTATATGAATTAATTAGAACAATTGTTTTTTTATATTCTAGTTCAAATTGTCGATATAATGCTTTTCCATGTCGTGATTATGTAAAAAGAAAAAAGAATTATTTTTCTTTTCATGATTTTCTTATTTTAGAATGGCTTCGTCAGTGGTCAATGTCTTGTATGTCCAACATCAGGTTGTGCTAAAATGGGTATTTAAAACAATATTTTGCATTCATATGATGAATAGTTGATTTTGTGTTTTTCTTGCACACAAGGTTTTTATTCGATTTATTCACTTGGTCGTGGTAATATGTATTTATCAACAAAGGATACTTCACCATTTTGTGGTTAGATTTTGTATCCAATTTTGTATTTTATTGATTTATTACTTTTTTCTCGTTTCAATCTATAGGTAATCATTATTTTATTGAACTTGTACTTGATCGAGATATGATTACAACAAGTGGTGAAATTTTTGTTGCAATTCATTCAAATTATGAAATGTTAGCTAATGTCAGCATGACTATGAAGTAAGTTTTAAAGAAAACAAAAAAAAAATGAAATTATATAATTCAATATTTATGTCGTTATATAAAGATCAAACGCCGATATAAAACCAGGTGATATATTTCGTCGTGTATTCAGTTATAAAACTGATTTGGGTAAAGTTGATTATGCTATCGTACATTTTAATAAAGCAAAAAGTCGTATGTATTTATTAGAATGTATATTAATTAGAAAATATGATTTTATTATTTTAGTTTTTGGATGGGGTGGTGAAAAAGGTAATGATATTATTATTTCACAACTTCGTTTGAAATCAATTGAAGATAGTGTTGTGTATGTATACAAATATAGTCATATTTTTTTTCTATTTTTTTTTCTTTTCTATTTAATAGATACAGCGGACTTTGTGAAACGCATACAAAAATAGCAACACATACTTCTGAAACAGTTTTACTCGATCCTGTTGATTGCAATGGTTCAAAAGGAAATAATTGATCGATATATTTTCTTTTTATTATAAAACCAAAGAAAATAAATATTTTCATTGAATCATAGATTAAAAAAGAATAAATATATAATAGATGATTATAAAGTGAAACTTCTATTAGTAAATATTTTTCATAGGTAAATACCTTTCGATTCTGGACTTGAGCATTGTTTTTGAAGTCTCGAGTGGTATTTTAAACTCTTTTAAAATGAACATAGATGTACTTTTTTCTTCTGCTCTTCATGATTTCTGGCAAATGCACTAAAGATACTGTTCATTAGGGAGCTGCGAATCCTTCCAGACTCGACCAGCTTCAGGTCCAAAGTTTTTTTTTTGGGTTCGGGTACAACCTTTTATTTTTTGTTGGGCCCGGTTACGCGTTTTTGTGGACCCGTTGCTTCCCAGATGGGAAATACAGCAACAAGATATAACCGTATGTTGAGGTTTTTTCTGAGAGTAGCGAATAAATAGCTAAGAAGCTTTGATCCTTCACTTGTTCATGTACACGAAAGGTGTCAGGTATTGATGGAAACAACCTCGGGTTTGGATCTGACCGAGTTCAGATCGGTTTCGAGTCCAGGAAAACGTGGACCCGCAACTCCCCACTGTTCATTGTTTACTATAACTGTATGCATATCAGAAAAGGTAATGACATTATATCATCATCTTACATTAAATACAAAAAAGTTCAATTAATTAATAATTACAACAATAGTAGTTGTTTATCACAATGTGAATTAGCTGAAAACTCGAATATTTCATTTAGTTCTATATCCAATATTTTAAAACGAAAAAATAATTAAAGAATATGTAAATCATTATCAAATAAATCAAAATCAAACTATTAAACAAAAATTCAAAAGTTTTGATGTAATAAAACTTGAAGAATATATATTTGCATGAATTATAGAGTAATGTTCATAAATTTCACATATATCTTGATTGAAACCATAATACAAGGCTTTATGAAACAAAGGCAACGTTTTACATTCTGTTAAACATTTTTTGGATTCATAAATATTCAAATAAAGAAAGCTAAACAATACAGAGAACGGTCTTTGATTACTTCAAAACTAATAAAGAAGTTTATATTCTGAAACTTTTTTCATTTCGTAGTAAAATATATAATATCTCTCATAGACGAATACTAATCAATATTGAAACACTTTTCAAAAGTTCCGGTGGTGACAAATTTCAGAAAGCTTTTACTGTATTAGATTTTAATTTTCTGTCGGCAGACATATAGCGATAGAAGGTGCTCATCCTTCTTAGTGTTTCTTCGCCACATCCTTGTCTGTTATTCTACTTCAAGAACAACAGGAAATTATTTTTCTGATTAATGTCAATCTATTTCTTTTTTTTTGCGAGATTTATTTCCTCATTTCGAATCATTCTCTTATTGTCAAGATAACTTATTTTTCATAGAGTTTCGTTCAAAAAGACAATCCTTATTCAAATATATTTTTTTAACTAATTTTCTTTTTCAAAAAAAAAAAGTTTCTTTTGATCTGGAGGTTTAGTCTTAATTATGATATCCAAAAACATGCTGTATACTATATGTGATAATGTAGATTTTTTTTTTCTAGCACTCCCAACATCATACGACATCTGTCAATACATCAGCTGACATTGTCGATTCATTTGATTTCTATTCTCACTGTCCATCTTCCTTTTATGGTAGCATATCGTATTAATCTGTCCACTTTCTTATTCGTTCTTCATCATCTCATCTTGTCAGTATCAAAACGATTGGAGACCTGTTCGACGATAATACATATATATATATATATAATAAACATAACAAAAGTTCAAGTTCACAATTTGTCAATAAAAAAACAAGTTTTTTTTTCGAAATATTTATTTCAGATTTTACTAATCCATCCGTCCCTATTGCATCTTTTATTTTCATGTATTTTTTATAAATTTTGTTCAAACTGACAATATTGATTAATAACGAAACACATTCCAAATCTCAATTAAGGTATCTTCTTGTTTATCTTTTATGATTACATAAAAAAGAAAAAAGAAAAGAAAGAAAGATAGTTATCTATTATCATATTTGTCGTTTTCTTTTTCTTGCTGGGTTTTTTTTACGTTGTTTATAATTACTCGTATAATTAATCAATTATAATCTTCATACAAGGTTTTCTTGCTTGTTTATCATAAAATAAGTACATAGAGAAACAAGATAATCATCATTTACCAATTTTTCATGTATTCAAATTTATAAACATTTTCGAATGTGACGTATTAAAGAATTTCGTTCTTTTTCTTCTTCTTCAAAATTTTTTGTTCTTCAAACATTACACTTCCAATGGCGACAAGGTGAGATGTTAGGAGTACAGTCAAAGAAATACGGTCGTTTTCATTTTTTTTTCTTCTTTTCTTAAATTCATATTGAATGAACATAATACCATTTGAAATGTCAATCATGATGTATAAATGAATAAAAGCACGAAAAAAAAAGGAATGAAAAAATTTATGTTCTAGTTTTCATTGAAATGAGTTTCTAGTTTTTAGTATTGATTACGTTTTGTTTTTATGTCTAGTTCATTGTCAAATAAACAGATTGCTTCATCTCCTAATAATGAAAATTTGAGTGTACCAAAGATCGCCGCCGCAGCTACTAATATAATTGACCATCATCTGGCAAGGATCGTTACGGGCAATGCAGGTGTGTTATGTTTATTTTATTTTATTCTTTTTTGTTATTAATCATAGAAAGTTTTTTTATTTTTTTAAGAAAATTTACGTGCACATCTTGACTCGATGTATAAACTGCTGCGACCCGACGATCGTCTTACCTTGGTTTGTCCAGTCTTTTTTATTTTAGTTTTTTTTTAATTGTATATTTAATAGATGGTCCAATTGGAAAGTGGTTTTCCAAATCGTTTTCGTTACCTAGTCATTGTTACATGTGTCGGAAGACAAGAAACAGAAGAGTAAAAAGAAAAAACAAAATATTATTAGTATTTATTTATTTATTTACAGATCGGCTATTCTTGGTTTCGATGTCGATACAAACGAGATTACAATCGGTATGACATTACCAATATGGGCCGATTTGGATATAACACTCGACGGTGATGGGTAAAGTTCTTTAGATTTTAACGAATTTTAAATGTTGTGAATTTTGATAAGAAAAAAAAAAGCTAAACCTGAAAATCGCTTGATAAAGTTTTTTTCTGCAACAATATAAGTAATTATATGAATTTGTCCGGATTGAACTCAAGTATTATATATGATAACAGCAAAAATTCTATAAAATTACATAGTCTAAAAGAAGAAAAAAAATTATATTATAGAAAATTCGTTTTTTTTTAATAATATAATTTAGTGGTTTTAAATTAACTTCGTACGATCGATGTCATATTTTCAAGCCGGTGAGCGTACAAGCTCTGTGGTAATTATTTGAAATTTATTCTAGGTTTTTTTTTATATATAATTATTGCAATTTTATTTTATTAGGACTGCTTATCAGAGTTTGCACAAAGCATCAAATCAAGCTCGTCTTTATAATTATATAGCTAATAATGGTGTAACACACAGTTGGATTGAATATTATCGTAATCCCGATATGCGTTCAAATCAAATCTATGTTAATGAATGGAATCAAATGGATGATATTTTATCACATCGTAGTGATTCACCTCATTTATATCAACCGTATATAATAAAAAAAAAATAATAATTGAATGTACAAAAAGACTTTTTTCTTTTTCAATGTAGATTATCGTCAGATGAAGAAACACTTCGTGCTAGAATACATGTTAAATTAAAAGAAATTATGTTACAAGTTGATCTTGATGAAGTGACATCGAAATTTGTAAGTTAAATTTCTTTGTTTTTTGTTGTTATTCGAAAGATTTGAATAAATGTTTTTTTTTTTAATTAAAAAGTTACGTGAACAATTAGAAAATGCCTTTCAAATGTCTTTATCTCCTTATAAACAGTATATTGATGATGTTATGTTACATATTCTTGCTCAAATGGATAAACCAACAATGATATTACCGCATTTATATCTTGGTTCTGAATGGAATGCATCAAATTTTGACGAATTAAAAGCAAATAATATTGGTTATGTATTGAATGTTTCACGAGAAATAGATAATTTTTTTCCTGGCCATTTTAAGTATTTAAATGTTCGTGTACATGATCATGATGATGCAGATTTATTAAAAGAATGGGAAAAAACATTTCGATTTATAAATGAAGCAAAGTAAATTATCAAATTCTTTAAAGAAAAAAAACCTGTATATATATTTTTTTTTTTCTTCCTTATAGAGCTAATAATCAATGCTGTTTAGTTCATTGTAAGATGGGTATTAGTCGATCTGCATCGACGGTAAAATATCAAAGAAAATGAGTTTTGTAATTGTTTCTTTTTTTTAAAATTAGGTATTAGCATATCTTATGAAAGAAAGCAATCATTCATTTACTGATGCTTTGGAACATGTTAAAAAACGACGATCATGTATCAATCCAAATGGTGGTTTTAGAAATCAATTACTTATTTATGAAGGAATACTTGCAGCAAAGTAAAATAAATTTAGAAAAAACTTTTGTATTTTTTTTAAATCAAAAAAATTTTCTCTTTATCAATTTTAGTAAAACATTTCGAAGTAAATTAAATGACAGTCAGACAACAACAACAACGACAACAATTGGAAAAAAAACAGTGGCTACACCTGCAATATCTTCAACATCGATTGGTACTAAAAGTACATCAAATCTACCTGTTCAACGTTCATCATCACCAAATTCTATAGTTTTTATGCGAACACGATCTCCAAATAAATCAAGTCCTATTGTTGTTGTACCTCGACAAACATCTGAACATTGTAAACAAACATCACATGTAACTACTCGACCGAATTCCATGATTTAGTTAATTTATTTATTTTTTTTCTTGATTCATATCCCTTCTTATTCTTTCTCTCTTGTACGTTCTCTTCTTCTGTCTCTATTTGGACATACGGAAAGAAAATCGTTTTTGTATGTATAGAATCTAAATCTTCTTCTTTCTTTTTTTTTTCGTCTTGGAATGATACAATTTCTTTCTTTCTTTGTCTTTTTTTCTTCTTCTGTTATACATGTTTCTGTTTTTTTTTGCTGTAACATCAAATAACTGACAAAAAATCCTTCCCATCAACAGAAAGAAAAACGAGTAAATATTAAAAAAAATACTTTGATTTATATATAATGATTGGTTGATTTATTTGTTGTTGGTTTTTTTTATTATTCAACAGAACAATATATTAAAAAAAAAAAACAAATTTATTGATAATGAATTGGATGAACGTCTTATCGGATCAAAGTGAATTATAGTACACTCATGTACTAAATAATTGTAGTAAATAAGAGTATAGGTAGAGTTCATGTAGTATTGAACTAATCTTTGTTATATTTATTCATTGGTAATCATAGATAGAACGAATTTTTCAAGAAAAAGTCATTTCAATGTAAAATTACAAATAATAAAATCATATCCTTGATGATTATTATCAATAGAGATAAGTGTACTCTCTTCCATTGCCCTTTGTTATTGACTTTCATAATCGTTAGAAATCGTATAATTTCAAGTTTGGCAACGAGTAATTTAATAGAATCCTTATTCATCACTAGAGCCCTGCAGATCCAAGGTTTTTAGACTTCGAAGGACTCTGAAAAAGTTTTTTTTCACTGGCATATACAGGGTCTCTAAAAATTGATCAGAGATTTAATTTCAATTTTTTTTCCTAATGGTAGATTGCATAAAGAATTCAAATAGAGACTTGGATAGAGAAGACTACTTCTAGTGAAGATTTGAGAGCAATAAACTCTTTACAGTATTGGCAACAACTCAGAATTTCTAGAAAACCTAAAAGTTAGTTTTTCAGCACCCAGAACCCGAGCATAAAAGCTTTTTTTGAGTATGTAGGGCAGCACAGCAGCTAATTCTCTACAAAATTAGATGTCTTTGAACTCTTCATGACTTTTTTTTGAATAATTTGCATAAATAACAAAAGCCCAAAAGTCCTTTTTGTTCAGTTTCTCCTTGGGAAATACCGAAAAACCTATCTTTGGATGTTACTTAATGACGATGCAGTTTATTCAAAAACCGTCTTGGTGAGCTCGAAGACATCTGATTTTGTAGAGAATTAATTATACTGTAGCTTTGTGTAATCAAAAGAACCGTTTTTCGGGTTCTGTACACTGATAAGCTAAGTTTTGGATTTTCTAGAGATCATGGAATTTTTGGAATACTGTGAAGATTCTATTTCTCATCAGTCATTGTTGAAAACAATTTTTTGGTTCCATTCGAAAAAATTTGAAATTAAATCTGTACGATCAATTTTTTGAGGTGTCGTTAGAGATCTGCAGAGTCACGCTTTTCCAACTTCGATTTCGAAAATTGTTTTCTCGTAAATTTGTGAGAGCTTATGTGTCCAGCAATATTATGTAATCTAAGATCGCCTGAAGATGATGAAAATACATCTAATGACTCAAGTAGAGATATTCAATAGTGCTGATCTTTTTTTCACAGTCATCACTTGTACAAGTTAATCTGGTGTAGATGTTTTCTTTTTGCTTTCTTTTCTCTTTCGTGTTATTTGGTTATTGGATTGATAGTTGTCGTTTACTGGACATCGCAATTGTCAAAAATGAGTACTATTTAAGAAAAGAATGAAATAGAATTTTCGGACTTTCACAGTTTGCATACACTCTGATGCACGACTCTATTCATCAGATAGCGGCAGATTATCTTCAGCATTAATTATTAATCATACTTCATAGTGGAATTTTTCAGGCATAATATTTTGTTGACTAGACTCTACCAAAGATGATTACTACTTTCACGAAACTTTGTATAAACTCGAAGGAAACTAGGGTTACCAAATTGATATTTTAGAAACTAGGAGGCCTTCACAAAAAGAAAACGAGAAATTCATCAGGAGTTTTTCTTTAAATCAGGAGAGTTTTTTTGAAAAGTAGAAAGCATTTAGTGGCATTTTCGTTCGCAGAAGCGCTTGTTACTTTTCTCTAATATAGCAATTGTAGTGGAATTTGATGACAAACGGTATAAAAAAAAAACAAATACGATCATATTTTTTTTTTAATATTGTTAATCTTTTCATATTTGTTCATTAAAATATACAAACCATATGTTATTTACTGTATTGTATGTGGCACTTTTACAACATGAGAATATTTTTCTGATGATCGAATTTGTTTCAAGAGATCTGGTTGATGTATGAGATATTCATAAAATTCTGTACAATAAAAATAACTGTGCATCGTAATTTTTAATTTAATGCAAAGAAGGTTTTTTTTCATTTTATTTCAACTATTATTCCACAAAAATTTCATGTGGTTAAAAAATAGATTCATAAAAGGCATTTGAGGCCGGTATGGAAAAAGCAAACTGAACTAATTTTTTTTTTGAATCAGGTACATTTTCACTATTGAGGAGATAAACCTACAAGTGGTCGCATCTGATTAACGGATGTTTTTTCTATTTTTTATGGAATTTAATATCATGTTGTGATATTAGATCGCTTTTCTTATTGGTTAAACATATCGTTAAGAGTTGAGATGAAGAAAAGAAAAGTAGAAAATCTTGGAAAACACTTTCTGGTATCAGAAGACTTTTTCACCAGGAGAAAGACTCAAAAATCAAGATCCTTCTGGACAAATCACAAGGTTTGGTAAGCCTGGAGGGAACCAATGGTATTCACAAAAATTTTGATCTCAATTAAAAACATTACTTTATTATTGTCGTTATTTACAATCATATGAATAGAATAAAATATTCATTTTATATGAAATTGTACAAGTAAAATAATAAAAATCAAACAACTTTATGTTCACTAGTTGGCTTATGTGAAAATTCAAAATCGAGATGAACAAAAGCTCGTTCAATATCATCAATTGCTTCTAGTTGATTTTGTAGTTTGTCACCAATATCATGGGCCATGGCAAGTGGCATCGAAGCTGGCAAGCCAATATCAACTTCAACGAAAAAGTTCGTTCCATGATGAACAGCTTGAATAAAATCAATTTTTGTGACAATATCAGGACGATAATTATAAACAACATGAGTAAGTCTTTGAAGAAAAGATGGTTCAGCTGTAAGACCCGTTAGACGACGTACTTGTCCTATGAAAAAAGAAAAATTCATTGTAATCAAAAGAAAATAAATGATATTTACTGTTTGCTTGTAAGATCCAGGCGATAATAATATACACTGAAATAAGAATACCACCAGCCGGATCGACTACAATAGCTTCTTTCTTAATTCTGCCGTGCAGAGCATTTGAAGCTAAAAAAGAAGTCAATATATATTTCATACGACTTGATAATTTTTTTTCCTGGTAAGTTTATGAAAACATGCAATTTATCTTATTTCATCAATTTTGAATACAAATAATGTAAAAATAAACATATACCGATGAGTCCACAAGCAAGTGCTACAATATTAGATGCTACATCATTTCGACTATCTTCTGCTAATGCATACATTGTTGGATTTTTAATTCGATAACATAAAACGAAGAGAATTGATTTCGAAACTTGAATTAAAGAAATTATTATTTTGTTTTTTTTTTTTTTAAACAAAAGAGAAAATGAAACTTACCAATAGTAAGAACCATAGCCACTATAGGTACTATGCTCATATTTATCTCAGGTAATGTTTTTGTTGATGAACCATTATTTTGATGTGTAAAATATTCAATGTCTTGATCTAATGTTCCGGCACTTTCAAAAATAACTTGTACACTCGCTGAACACATTATTACAGATAGAATAACAATTGCAATTGGTTCAAGACGTGTTCGTCCTATAAAAAATTCAACAACTTAATTTATAATTATATTTTATTTCAAAATAAAAAAATAACCTCCAGGATATTTATAAGCATCTCGTTTCTTAATTTTTCGAGCTGTCCAAATGAGAATAAGACTTGTTAGAAGATCAACAACACTGTCAACAACTGAAGAAATGACCGAAAGAGATTTTGATATTACTGCAGCAACTATTTTGATAATAACAAGAACCTTGAATGAAGTATCAAATCATAATTAGTAACAGAGATATTCGCAAAAACAAAAAAAAAACAGACAATGTTGGTGACTAAGGTGATCATGGTTAACAATTTAATAGTTCTTTTACGTCGTTTTTCATAAGCCGTTTCATGATCTATCACTTCATCACTTTTCGGTACGAGAATATCTTCGATGGATGTTATTAATTCTAATTGATCTTCATAAAATTCTCTAAAATCAATGCAAACATACTGAGAATATTAAAATTAGATTTCATCTCATTCGTGTTAAATATTATCGAATTTCTCTAATATTTTTTTTTTCTAAATTAATAATTTGAATATGAAACAGTTAATCAACTCAGTTTTTACACTAATATTTCTCTCTACTTTTTCTTCCAAACAAAAAAAAATATATATATTGAAGAAACAGTTAATGACAGAATAATTATGTTTCAATTTTTTATATTTATTGATTATTATCTAATAAATATTTACATCATTTTTTTTCTTTTAATAATTGAATCCCATATGTTTTTAAATATATAGAAATAATTCATTTTGTCAAAAAGAAAACCAAATTATTGGAATATTAAGTAGAAAAACATAATTAACAAAATAGAATTCTTAATATGAATTACCTGACTTCTTTTGGAAGAGATTTATCATCCGGTTTACATAAAGGTTTAAAAGATTGTATATGTTCTAAATTACCATAGGTTGGTGGAGATATAGAAAATGTCGACTCATCCATAGTATCCATTTGATGAACAAAAGCAGCATTACTATTTCCTTTTGATGATCGTTGGTGATTTACTAGAAAACGAAGTGGTCGTGCCAGATTCAATGTATTACCACTAAAT